TGCGGCCTAATGTGCTAATGAGCTGTGCTGTCAGGGGTGTGGCCCAATATGCTAATGAGTTCCTGCTGGGCTTTTTCTAAAAAAAAAGCCCTGGGTTTAACCATCAATCTCTCCTTGGTCCCACTATTCAAAACTGGATTCCCCACATCATTAATATTTTAAAGGGAAAAAAACACGTTTTAAAATACGTAACGGTAAAGGTTTCCCTTGCTCAAAAGCCAGTCGAATCCGACTCCGTTTCCAAGCCGAACAGCCAGCACTGTCTGAAGACTTATCCGTGGTCATGTGGCCGGCATGACAAGACGCCGAGGTGCACGGAATGCTGTTATCTTCCCACCGAAGTGGTACCTATTTATCTACTTGCAGTTTCTTGCTTTCTAACTGCTAGGTTGGCAGGAGCTGGAACTAGAGACGGGAGCTCACTCCGTCATGCAGCACACTCGGGTCTCGAAATGCTGAACTACCGACCTTCCAGTCTGTGGTTCAGCGTCTTAACCACTGAGCCATCGCAGCTTAAAATAACTATATATACACATTTATCTTTAGAATGATAATAGCAAAGCCAGTTTTGAACAGCAAAAGAGCAGAGGTGGATGGGTTAAACCACCTCTCCCTTTTTTGTATGGCCCCAAGGCAAAGTGAGGCCACAGGAGCCTACAAGTTGCATGTTATAAATGGACCAAAATGTGTGATCTTTGTCTCATCATCTGAGCACTCAACTGATGAAAATCTGCGGAGAGCAGAAAGCAGGGGTTTAAACGGCTCACAAACCGAAATGAACCGGGTCCTTTCGCGAACCAAGCTCCCGGTTCGTGTGGGTTCCTGGTTCAGTTCGTTCAGCCCATCGCTAGTCAGCAATCCAGCGGAAGTAACACATGAAGAACTCATACATTAGGAGATAACATCCCTTGCCAGCCATGCATAATATGAAACAGAATGCACCTGATTAAAATAAATTTTAAATCATGTTTCATTGTAGTTGTCAGAGTTGCAGCACGTTGATTAGAGAAGAGAGATCATAAGAACATAAGAACATAAGAGACGCCAATGTTGGATCAAGCCAAAGGCCCATCCAGCCCAACACTCTGTGTCACACAGTGGCCAAAAATACCAGGTGCCATCAAGGAGGTCCAGCAGTGGGGCCAGGACACTAGGAGCCCTCCCACTGTTGACCCCCCCAAGCACCAAGAAGACAGAGCATCACTTGCCCCGGAGTCCCTATCTATACCTTGTGGCTAATAGCCACTGATGGACCTCTGCTCCATATGCTTATCTAATTCCCTTTTGAAGCCGTCCATGCTTGTACCTGCCACCACTTCCTGTGGCAGTGAATTCCAAGTGTTAATCACTCTTTGGGTGAAGAAGTACTTCCTTTTATCCGTTCTAACCCGACCGCTCAGCAATTTCATGGAGTGCCCACGAGTTCTTGTATTGTGAGAAAGGGAGAAAAGTACCTCTTTCTCTACCTGCTCTTTCCCATGCATAATCTTATAAACCTCAATCATGTCACCCCTCAGTCATCGTTTCTCCAAGCTAAAGAGCCCTAAGCGCCTTAACCTTTCCTCATAGGGAAAGTGTTCCAACCCTTTTATCATTCGAGTTGCCCTTTTCTCCACTTTTTCCAAAGCTATAATATCCTTTTTAAGGTGTGGTGACCAGAACTGCACACAGTATTCCAAATGAGGTCGCACCATTATGATATTGGCTGATCTGTTTTCAATACCCTTCCTAATAATCCCCAGCATAGCATTGGCCTTTTTTTTTTGCAGTTGCACACTGTCTCGACATTTTCAGTGAGTTATCTACTACAACTCCAAAATCTCTCTCTTGATCAGTCTCTGCCCGTTCAGACCCCATCAACGTGTATTTATATTTAGGATTTTTGGCTCCAATGTGCATCACCTTGCACTTGGCCACATTGAACCCCATTTGCCAAGTTGACGCCCACTCGCCCATCCTTGACAGATCCCTTTGGAGTGCCTCACAATCCTCACTGGTTTTCACCACCCTGAACAACTTCGTATCATCCACAAATTAAAGGATTAAGTGTGTTGCAAGATTTAAAGCACAAAGGGGGAAAAAGAGCTTTCCTTACTCCATTTGAATAGTTCACACTGAGTACTCAAGAAGATTGTTCTATAGCCATTTATTTATTATTTACTTTATTTATATCCCATCGTTCTCCTCACAAAATGGCTTACATCACAGCCATTACATATGTGTAAACATCAAGATCCAGGGCAGCAATAAAGCGCTTTTTCTATAGGAAGAGTGGACAATACCTTCCAGCAGTGATTACAGCTTTCAGTGCTAGGGTACTGTCTCTACTACTGCATGGAGCAGCAATCTGGGTCCATAGGACAAATAAGACTGTAGATCGGATCCCCTGCTGTCAGATCTGCGGGATCCTGAAATATGTGGCCATACCGCCCTTAGACTGGATACGGACATTGAATCCGAAATTCAAAATAATGTTATCTGAGGATAACAGCTTATTATTTTATACGAAACAAGATAATTTCTCCAGTCCATGGAATCAGGCTGTAATAGAAAAACTGAATATTATACGATGCCCAGAGAAGTCATTTTTGCATTAGGGGGCCCCCTAGCCCATAAGATTATCAAGCAGTTGATTATGAAGATGGATATCAACGGTACTATCGGCCGGGCTAGGTGTGCTTGCTCTACTCTCCAAATGGGAATTCCCACCACTCTTTGCAATCCCAAAATACTTGTT